TCCCCTCCCCCCCCCCCCCCCCCCCCCCCATGGAGCTGTCAACCTGCATTCTTCACACTCAAAATAACTCCTTATTTCAAAGGAAAAACTCAACCTTGAAGTCTACAGGGTTAAACCAAAATTGGATTTAAGGATAACCTGGGGACCCCAACTCCTTGAACACTGCTTAAAATTATATGTATTCTTAACTGTGGGCACAGGAGTAGTCACTTTTGAAGCAAATTGCATGAGTGATCTGTGTAAAATTGTTTGTATAAGTATTTGCAGAACTGAGGCTTTAACTCAGTCATCCTACATGTAGAACAAAGGTGGTCAACCTGTGACATGAGTGCCACAGGTAGCATGGGCAGCCTCTGTGTGGCACGTGGCAGATTGGGGAGGGTATGGGCAGGAAGCAAAGTAAGAGATCAGGCAGTGAACAAGGAGCAGATCAGGAATCAGAGTGGCACTTGGGGAAGATACATTCGTAACATGCCTGCTATAAAGGTTGTTCCCCCTGTTGAAGGATCTGCTGCATACATCAGAGTCCTAAACTGGATGAGGAAGGATCATTAGGGTTTAGCTTGTAGGTGTAGCAGCAGCTGAATCTATGATCTAGACTTAACCTCTGAAAAAGGTTAGAAAGGAAAAGGAGGTTAGAAGAGAAACCAAATCAAGTCAATGTAGGCACACCACCTCTCTGCACAGGAAACTTCTGGAATTGAAAGATCCTTTACAAACAGAAAGGGCATAACTTTAATAATGCAAGTTCTTACTCTTTTCTCCCTTTTGCAGGGTTGAAAGTAAATCGCCTGGACATGTACGGAGAAAAATACAAGCCTTTTAAAGGTGTCAAGTACATCACTAAAGCAGGCAAATTCCAAGTGAGGACATGAGAAGGTGCCCAACTCCCAACAGGAAATAAGAACATTTTTCTTTTTTAAGTTGAAAATTATGACTGCTTAGTGACTTAAGTTGCTGTTAGGTGCTGGTTGATTAATAAGACACACTGACTAGTTTGTGCACAGCAGCTATTCAAATTGAAGTATCATTTGTTTTTTCTTAAATATGGCTTTAAAATCGGATGACTTTTTCTAACAGTTTCACTTTGTTTTTTTTAATCAGTCCTTGGATTCAAGAATTGTTTTAGGATGAAGTGGTCCACAGTCTGCCATGAAAAATACACTGCCAAATAAGATACCAAAGCCAGAAGGCTAAGCACAGGCCCTGCAGGCACACTGGAAACTCCTGTGGCCGCACACCTCATTGCTGCAGCACTGGGAGAACGCTACACCATCCTCACTGCCTGCCGCAAGTTCACATTCCACAGCACATCACGTGTTAGCTTCAGAAACAAAACGCAGCAGTGAGAATGGGTAGTGGTTCCAGCCAAGCATGAGTCAAATTCATCACTCCCCAGAGAGATTTTTCTGATAAAGAAAAAACTGTTTCTCATGTTTACAAGGTACCGCCTTTCTTACAGAGTCTTTGCCTTAATCAGCTTTCATTTGTGCCATCAGCAAGTGAGCTGATCAAATAACTTTCTGCATCAAATCCTGGGAATGATGGTTGCTTCATTGATTCACCTTGTTTCCATTTCTCATCTTACTTTGTATTTTTTTATAAATCCAGTTGCAGAGAGGAAGGTCTATTTTTATGTCAAGCCTTAGCTTTGATTTACACGTGCCACTTCTTTGAAGTGAATGTTGCCAGACTTGTGTGCCACGTGTATGTTGGATTGTAGCTTTTAGATAGCAACATAGAAGATGTCAAATGTAATTTAAAGGTTGTGTGCTTTATTGTAACAAAAGAATTAAAGGGAACTCTACTGCAAATGCATCCTCTTGTCAAGTCATCTTGATTTGTTCTCAACACTCTGCAAACAATACTAAGATGCATATGTTACACTGCCACAAAGTAAGAGCTAGCCATAGCTCTACTTACCAAGTGGACATCTTGAAAAAAAGTGTCAGCATTTGAGAAGATACAGAAATGAGATTCCTGCTACTCCATTTCAGTTAGCTTTTTGTTTTGATGATTCTAGAGGTTTGGTTTGGGGATGTTTTTTCAGTTGCCTGCCTTCAACTTCTTGAGCCCCTAACCAATCTGAATGTTTGGTCCTGAAGCACTCCTTAGGCAAGGAGTTCAGTTTCTCTAGTCTGCTCTGCCAGTAACTCGGCTTGCTGCCTTGAAGTGCCTTATTTTGCAAATGGGTAAAGTAGATTGTAGCCTCATTTGAGAGGGATAAACTAACCCAAACCAAAACTCTGCAGTCCAGACTTTCAAACCTAGAAGTGAAACTAAGCTCTCAAAAAATCCAGGAATTCTGGGTCTCTGAAAATCTGGCTTGCTTGATGTAGGAGCTCATTTTTCAACTGCTATTCTTCCTCTAGGCACAATAAATCTTGATGAAATAGTATACCTAGCACTGCACTGTGGCTTTTTGTGACTTTGGGCCACATTTTAGAGGTAACAGCTTTTTCTCTTAATATACCATTCTGAAAAAGACAAAGCAGTAACCAGAATGAAACATCCTTACACCAGCATGAAAAATTAGCATGTGTTCTCTTTTTGGCTGCAGTTTCTCTGTTGTCATCTTGAATGGGTCTGTGGGGTAACTTTTAACACATTAAATTGGAACCACTAAATAGATTCTGAAGTTCATTCCTTGGCACTTCAGGCAAGTATTACAGGTAAGACTTTCCTCTTGAAGGCCAATGGAAATGTGGGGTAAGCCCAGAATAGAGAGGAAGAGGTGGGAAGACTCTTTAGAAATTTAATTAATACTTTAATCCTGAAGGAAATGCATGCTTAGAGTTGTGCTTTTGAAGCTACAAGTTGTAAACTAAATTTTAGGTATTGTATCAAAATAACATACTAATCTGTTATAGAGAGCTTAGATATACTTGTGCAAATGGCCACAACTGCAGCATAGATTGTCTTAATATCCTTCTATTAGGATTGTGTTATTAAAGTTAAAGGTATATTTGACTTAAGCTTAAAACAAGGGATGCCCAAAGCTCTATGCCTTCTATTGATACTTCACAACAGATGGGGAAATGCATATTCATTTAAAACTAGTAACTTCTCTCTGGTGGATCTAAAACCTGGTTTCTGTGATCTGTAAGTTTATCGGGGTGCTCACCAGGATCTAGGGGAACATCTGTTCACCAGAGCACCCCAAGGGATGACAAGGTTGAACAGTCACAAACTCCACCATGACCATTTCAGGTTAGATGTAAGAAAGAACTTCTTTACTGTCTGAGCCCCCAAGGCACCTGCTTTGAACATCCAAGTGTCTCTTGAAGGTGTTTATCTTGCTGGGATCCTATGATCCATGCTGACTTCCTGCCCCTGGGGCAGGGGGCTGGACTCTGATCTTCTGAGGTCTCTTCCAGCCCTAATGTCTATGACATCTGCAGGCCATGCTTGGCATTGTATTGTTACCGAAATAATCTGTAACAGACCCTATTTTTGTTATCTGTAACAAATCCCCATAACAAGCCAGACTTGCATCCCTAAACTACAGCATCAGATTTCCAACACTGAATAGATTACTGGACTCTTGTAATAGAACCTTGGGGACAGATTGATGCGAGACTCTTGTACATCATGGTCAGGGCAGCTATTCTTGCTTCTTACCACCAGAGGTCAGTGTCAACAAGACTGGTAGCTTAGAAATGTTAAAATTGTCAGGGCGCTGTATCTAATGTTCCCTGAAATACCTGGTGAAGTGACAGCATTGTGTGTGACAAAAGGTTGAGACCTATGGCTGGCTTTGTTGGCGTTTCTACAACTATTTTGCATACAGATCTTAACATAAACAGTAATGGTGCCTTCTAAACAAAACCTGGTCTGAAAGAGCCTAAATACAAAGTTCTACATCCTAAACAACTTTTGCCTCCTTAAAAACTAGCTACTGCCAGTGCTCAACTTTTTATTTAAAAAAATGTATACATATATTGTTTTTAAATGTGCACATCCTTAGGTTTTTACAACCATAAGCCACACAAATATCTAGCTTTTCTAGTTAAACTATTAAATAAGAAACACTAGGATACTGTGTATAGAAGTTTCTGCAGTAGCAATATTCACACTCTTATGGGTGCAGTAACACCTATCCTAGCAAGGTCCAGCCAAGTGGCAGTTAAGTTTCTTGCCTCCTATAAATACAATATAGCAGGGGTAAGCAATGTTTTTTGGCCAGAGTGCCGGTAAGCCAGAAAAACAAAGTGGGGGGGGGTAGTACATGGCAGGGCGCACTACATATTAGTATATTTAATAATCATAAATGTTGCCTTTGTTCTGTATTCCTTTTTTGTTGAGCATGTTGCAATGAGAGAGAGAAAAAAGAGACAAAGAAGAGAGAGAGGGAGAGAAAAAGGAGAGCAGCAAGAGCCAGGCACACGCACATGCACACTAGAACCATGTGCACAAACACAGGGAACCAGAACAGACACATGCACACAAACATCTGCAACCAGACACGTATGCGCACAGAGGCAGACAAACGCACAGAACCAGATGCTGGCTTCGAGCAGGTGGGAGTCAGGCAGGCTCAGCTGCTGCCAGCCACAAAGCCCAGGCTGCTCCCAGCAGGCAGCTGCAAGCTCTGCTGCAAGTCGACCGGGCTCCGTGGTTGGCAGCAGCTACCCAGAGCCTGGGCCAGTTGGAGCCAGGAGGCTGCAAACATCTGCTCCAGGCTCTGACATCAGCTCCATACCAGCAAGTACACACGTGCTTTGGAACGGATGGTGAGGATAAGGCCTGAGGCAGCACAGCCCTCCTGCTATCCGCTCTGAGGTCCACATGCAGTTGCTGCCAGCATGGAGCTGATGCGGAGGCTGTAAAGCCCAGTGCAGCTGTTTGCAGCCTGCTTGCTGCCTGCAGCAGCTGCCCGGAGCCCAGGCTGGCTACAAACAGCTGCACCAGGCTCCAGAACCTAGTCATCAGTTCTGTGCCAGCAGCGGGAGAGAGGCTGGGGTTGCACTGCTTCAGGGCTCTCCCCCGAACCATTCACTGCGAGGTGCATGTGCACCTGCTGGTATGGAGCTCATACTGGAGCCTAGAGCAGATGTTTGCAGCCTCCTGGCTGCAACCAGCCCAGGCTTTGGGTAGCTGCTGCCAACCATGGAGCCCAGTCTGCTTGCAGCAGGGCTTGCAGCTACCCAGCCACCTGCTGGCAGCAGCCTGGGCTTCATAGCTGGCAGCAGCTGCCTAAAGCCCAGGCTGGCGGTGGTGTGCTGAGCAAAATGGCCTCACACATTGTGCTTGGCACATGTACTGAGGGTTGCTGACCTCCGTAATATAGAATACAACAAGGCTACAGCACTTACTGTGGCAGGCCTGGTAGCTTACACCTGGATCCATTTTTTTAAAGTGATTGTAATAAGTGAAGACAGTAACCAGGTGCTGAGGGTTGCTGACCTCTGTAATATAGAATACAAGGCTACAGCACTTACCATGGCAGACATGGTAGGTTACACCTGGATCCATTTTTTAAAGTGATTGTAATAAGTGAAGACACTAACCAGTTGCCTCTTCCCAAGAGGGTGAATTCCAATTAAGATCCTTTCCATAGACCATCAACGTCAACTAGAGAAAAAAAGGGCAAGTCTATACATGCAATTAATGCAACTGAATAAACTCTGCTGCGATTTGAGCTGCAGCAAAATAATTCCAACTTCACTGTCTACATATGTGTTTAAGCCCAGATTCCACCATTACCAGTACCCGCGTCTGACGGGACTATCCAGCAGTGCTGTAAATTAATCTACACCAGCCCAATTGCTGTGCACATGTAGATGGTGACACTTGACTGCACAGTAAATTAGTCTACTGCACAGTAAAGTGTACGTGGAGCTATGCCCACAGGCAGCTAGCCTTCAGTGAAGGCACGTGCTCTTTCACTGAACCATCTTGGCAATAACTTCATCTCTCTGTGCTCCTCCTTTCAGCTATTCTGATCAAAATATGCTGAACTTGGGCTCTAAGGACCATGAACTGCTTGCAGTGGGTGCTTGCCTGTGATGCATCCATTTTGCATATGCATTACTTTCTCAGCAGCCCTCATTCTGGTTAATCTGGTTGCTGATCTTTTTCTTCCATCCTTTGTACCTTACTGCTGCCCAAGCAAAACACAAACCTTGAGCTTAGTGAAATTAGAAACCACCATTGTTTTTAGCAGTTTAAAATGTAATTGGAGGATGGCCAAAGTAGATTAAAATTAGCCCTTTATGCTGGTAACCCTACTTCTGTCTAGAACTTCTTGAGTAGGAAATCTTGAAACAGGCCTTTTCCTTGCACAACCTTTGATTTTTTTTTTTGAGTGAAGCCCTTTTGCTAGTCTCTATCCATCCATGCTTAGTGCATTTGTCTCTTGTTTTGATAGCTGATGGTGAATCATGGGAATGCTGACAAATTAGTAGTGTGCACCTAAAGACATTACACTGAGCCAACCAGCAAAACTTTTATGTTCTTATGCAGCTCTGAATATTTCAGCTTTTTAAGAGTAGATGACAGCATTTTACCCATCACACTCACTTTCTGAGCTCCAACAGCTACTTCAGAAGCTTTTCCTAATTGCTGTTACCTACTCCAGCAGAAGATTGGAATCTGATCCAGAAGTATCTCTCACTTTCTGCCAGAGGAGCAGGCTGAAGAGAGTTGGTGTCCTTTTTTCCAAGTCTGCCTTGCAGCTTGTTCACCTTTGCTTTCCAACTGGTCGCCTCCACTTATTAGGTAATGTGTGACAGTATGGAGCTATACCAGCTTTGTCAGCCTCTGTGAAGATCACCCAAGACATTAGCAACCTACTTAGTGGCAAAGGATCTCCAGTT